AGATATAATTTATACGCGCCTTCGATCATATTTTTTACTAAAGCCCGATAGTGAGAAAATACTCGATAGTCCGCTTGCGATTTAGTTCTTTTGTATATTTTATGTAACCTCCACTTTTTTTCAATATGCTTAATTAATTCGGCCGTGTACCATGTCGGATAATTACATTTTGAATTTGTTTTACCCCGATTACAAAGTTTTTATATTACTAATTTAACTAATATTATAAATGCGAATGTTTAGATGGATGAATGGATGTTGGTTTGAAGGTATCGCCGGAACGGCTTACCGGATCTTGATAAAATTTGGCACAGATGTAGAACATAGTCTAGAAGAACACATAGGCTACTCATTAACTTTTTTCATTCCGCGAGAACTGAATCGCGGGCGACAGCTAGTAATTCTATAAATAAATTGAGAGACATTGATTTAAAGTTGCAGTGGCAAATATAAATATCAAGCAAACGCTTTGTAACGTCAGATATATTCGCAACGGTTTCGTCGGAGTCTGTATGCCCCCGCATAAAGTCCCTGTCTGACCTCCGATATCATTAGATTTATCGGCGCCAAGTCTCAGAAGATTGGCATACGCTGGCCGAGTGCTTATTCGAGTGTGATCACGTGTGAGTTCCCAGGTATACCTGATTTATTTACTCCGGAATTATTAAATGAACTCGATGTACAATGTCCAAATGATACACAGTTAATTATATTTCTTATGCGTTTGAATAGAGAGACAAGCCGAAGACAGGACGGCGTGGAGGCAGCTGGTCGACACGGCCGTTGAAGCGTACCAGGACAAGCACGATCTTCAGTAATGAAGAATACGAAGAAGAAAGATGCGTTTGAATGCAGTATTAATTGCGAGTAGAAGAAAAGAATAATACAATATTTAATTGTGGTAGACACTATTTATATGTTTTTATTATATTTGTTCCAAGTTGTTAATGACATTTTTAGAAAAACGATTTTCTAAATTTTAACTTACATTAAGAATTCAGAGTTAAATAGACTCATCTCTACTTAACGATATACATATTTTACGTACAATGTTGTAGTTACAGTAGTATGAAATTTGAATGTGTCGGAAATAAAATAAGGGTTCCTTTGCTAGGCGAGCGAGGGCGAGGGCGGGGGTTGAGGAGAGAGGTCGCGGGGCGGGCGACGTGTTTTATGTAGGAAGTTGTTCATCACGCAATAAATCTTGCGGACGCAACGCGGTGCTACACGGTACACTAATCGTGGTACAAATAACGATGAATTTAGGGAATACAGCTTTTTATAATATTTCAATTCAACTTCGTTACTCATTTTCCTAGTTCAAATTTACCTCAAGACAAAATAATTTACAAAACGACTTTTACTAAAAAAAAACTATTCTAAACATGTTTATAATATAACTACTTTAGTGACTCAATTAAATTTACGTTTGTATGCGTATTTATAATTGTTCTTTTGCTTGACGAAGTCTGAAAATTAAATTTTAAGTTATTTTTACAGTCTGAGCACTAGTATATTGTTATCGCTTGAGAATTATCTCACTGTTTTATATTGACACGGTTTCTTAAACGTTGTCTACATGCCTTTAATTATTGCATTTTGTTTTTCATTCTTGGCATACATTTCCAGTTGTGAGGTGTTTATTAGCTGCCATGTATTCGATAAAGTATTTTTACAATTGAACGGTTGCTTGAGTTGAAAAAGGTAAGGATCAATAGCTCTTTTATTTATTTTAAAGAAATCGAAATAAAAATATAGAAGATATTTTCTTTAAATTAAGTAAAGTATATTTTATTTTCTTTTTAATTTTTAAAGTTAATTTAGTAAGTAATCACTCGTCTAGTGAACCGTGTCATGACGTAGTAGTGATGTATGACCGGGAGGGCCGACGCGGAATCACAGGCTGACAAATTCATTCCGCACTTGACACCTTGCTCTTGTATACTTTCCGCCCCAACCGCGAGGGTCGCCACGCCACGCCAGGGGGCTCGCTAATCTGTGTCCGGACTTTTATACACTGTGCGACATACGTAAGTCTTTAATATCTTACTAGCTGAATACTAACTGGGCTTAGAGGAAATTAATTTAAAGAAGGCGCGACGTGGTAGGTTTTGACTTCACAAGCCTACCAAAATTGTACATATTATGAAACTGGGTTATGCTTGTAAGTTACGCCTGGAAGGTCAAAACTGTCATGCGAAATCTAACGTGTGTTGCTTACATTAATTAAAGGAACTTGTAAGGGAGAATTTCAGGTCCCAGTGGAAACGAGAATAAGTTCTTAACTTTTATTGAAATATTACCAACATAACGCAATGTTTTAATGTATTTTAAAGTACAAATTTATTATATCTACAGACTATTAGTCAATATGTATTGAGGCAAAAAGCAATGTTAATATTGACTGATGCCAATATATTGAGTGAAAGTTACGACGTAATCTGAGGTATGCAGTCACGAGAAATACGACTTTATATCCAAACTAGAAAGGATAACTCACATGGCAGTCGCATATCTCTTTCTGTTTGTGGTTCACGTGTTTTTTGTTTTTAATATTAATGAGCGACATAAGAATTAAGTTCGTATAGCTTACGCAATAAGAGCTAAATTTGATTACCCCGTGCCAAGTGATTTCATTATTTGGAAGACCTTGCTGCACAAGGTTAGTATGTCTCTGTGGTATGTATAATATGTGTTTGACAGTAGTAATACGTGTATTGAAACACATTGTTGTCTCCGTTTTTTCAAAGCGAATGAGAGAGATGATACTATGTTACAATACAAGTATCCCGTCAGTCAAAACCCTTAGTAAGTTATCTTCATTGTTGTAATGTAAACGCAAGCTTTTTGTTTACAATTCTTCGGTCGGTTGCTATTGTTCATCGATGGTGAAACATATTTAATATAAATCGAATTAAATAAATCGAAATGTTTTATTTTCATAAAAATAATTATATTTAGTAAGAATAATAATTGTATATATAGACATAGAAACGTGTGCCACGATTTTCCTTATCAAACCTGATTGGGATTTGTTTCGCTCTGTATTTTGCATACAAAATAAAGAAAACATCAACTGACATGTGAAAATATTAATAGCCATAATATGGTAAATATACATCTTACTACTAACTAATCTTATAAGTGCGAATGTTTAGATGGATGCTTGGATGTTTGTTTGAAGGTACCTCCAGAATGACTCCATAGATTTTATAGATTAACAGTGGTATAGCCCGCTTTAACATCTTCGCTCGAATTGGCCTGGTTCGCCCGGTGAAATACCACGACCACACAGAAGACAGACGTGAAGTGGAAGCAATTCCGCGTTTTGTTTGATGAGTGTGCGTCCCGGAGGCCTAATGTAGTCCTCTTTCACTTCCCACCCTTTTTCTTATAAGGAAAGGATGGGAAGTGGAAGTGGACTTTCCGGATGAGAGGATGCATGGAAAGGGAATGTATTCTGTGCATCCTCTCCTCCGTCGATTAAAGGTAGGCAACGCATATGCAATTGCGTATGTCTATGGGCAACGGTCACTTCGCTATATCAGCGATTTCAGGTGGCCGCTCGCTCGTTTGCCGCCTTATGATATAAAAAAAAAAAGATCTTGCTGAAAACTGGCACATATGTAGAACATAGTCTGAAAGAACGAATAGGCTTACGTTTTTTTTCTTTCCGCGCCCACGGAGTCACGGGCGACAACTAGTATATCTTAATATGGTAAAAGTGTGAACATATGTCAAAACAATTAATGTAACTAATACAAGGACGCTTTTGTGTTTGATTTTTAATTTCATTGGTTTCTTTATCTTTACCTTGACCAAAACAACAAAAGGTAAACTAAATTCAAATACAATGTAATCAGACATTGAAGTTAATGAATTAGTTAACACTCTTCTTACTATCTTACTAATATTATAAATGCGAATGTTTAGATGGATGAATTGCTGTTTGAAGGTATCTTCAACATATAGGTAGAACTATGCTGGAAGAACATAGGCTTCGGACGGAATCGCGGGCGATAGCTATTTTAGAATAAAGCTTATTACGATCCGGAGGTAGATGAGTACAGGGTAGGAGAGCAGGGGAGGGTATTGTTGGAGTGCGCCATGTAACAGCTTTCTTTATCAGTGCCACGTTTATGAGCGCATAAATTCAGTTTATCTTTATGAATATTCAGCACCGTTCAGTGACGGCGACGGCTAAGTAAGAAGCTACATAAATCTGTTTGGTTCTGTACATTTTTTTTAAATATTGGTTTCAGTACAGTTACAATTGTTATTATACAATTGAAACCGTTTCTTTGAAACACATATTATGGTACAGTTATATCAAAAGAGAGAACATTTTTTTAAATAACTCGGGGTAAAATTGGCATTTTTATATATGTATATGATATGAAAGTTAATAGATTGATTGATGGTGGAGTTTATAGAGACATAGTTGAATAGTAATCATATTTTTAACTTTTAATTAGTTGGTTGTTAGTTAGTATTATTATTTTGAATATTTAGAGAATGTTCTTTGATCATTTTAATTATTAAATATATTAGAGCCGGCTTAGAGTTTTGTATTTTTTAATTCTTCATAAGGGACCCTAAAAGTGTAGTTGTTAGTGTCGGAGACATTTCTTTTTATTTATGCTAATAATTCCGAGTTTTATTTAATTCAGACTCGACGTTGGACATTCGTCGCATTTTTAAATGAATTTGTTTTATGCAAATATTATGTTCTTAATAAAATTCACGACTCTTTACAACTGATTTTTTTTTATAATCTCTCGATTTAGCAGTTAATAAAATAATTTTGAAGGTTTTATGCATTTGGGAGATAATTTTTTATAAGATAAAAAAATATATTATGCGTATATTTTATGTAAAACTTTAATAAATTGACGCTCGCTACATTTTACTTAAAACATTTATGTTAAAGATTAATAAATATTTTCTATTTCTCTATGTAAAGTCATCTAGTGGACCGAACACAAAGCATTAATGATTAATCTTTAAAGTTAATATAAAATCATGGAGAGAGAGCGCATTAACACGGCGAATTCGATGTCGGAGTAATTCCTGGTTGTCGAGTGATGAATGGCGCCCCGGCAGCCCCGGCTTTGACCTAACCCCATATCTCACCCTCAAGTAACCTCACACGATGTTTTATTACTTGATGAAACGCGCTGTCCCGTCCTTACAGTGTCCGCCTTGTAACTACAGTTTTTTTCGATGTTGGTTTAAGAATATATTCTTCGACTACGTATTAATATGGAGGATATGGTAAAAGGATTAAAAAAAAATATTAAATTAAATCCATGATTGAAAAAATCTTAGAATCAATAAAGCTGTCAGTTTGTGTTCTGTATTTATGTAACTTTGCTAAATATTTTAATCAGGCGCTGTAAAAGTGTTACTCGTTGGAAGATTTTTTTATCCTTTTTTTATCTTAACCTATAACCAGTTATTTAGTTTAAAAATATTGCTTAAGATATTATTTAAGAATTTATTTGATAGATGAAAATAACATCAAAAATTAATGTAATAACGGTGTTACGTGGAACTTCCATGTACTATTAGAATCGTAATTGAGACACAAAAGGGAATTGTCGTGTTTAAACGACATGAAGTCGATTAATGACACGGCACGGTGTCTAGTAGGCGACGTCCGTATGTCTGTCATTACAACTTATTGATTTTATGATTAATGGCGACTAATGCACGAAACTGTAACAACTGTCTATAACTTTGTTTCTGTTCTTTAATCACGCGATTATACTTGTAAGAAAGTTTTTAGTAACAACTAACAAAGTCCAATTAACGGTAACCATTTTTTTGTTAAGTTTCGTTACGTTTTAAAAAATTTTATGCATATTCGTGTTTGTCGCTTAAAGTTTTTCTTATCTTTAGTCATGAAAAATATTGAGAATAAACAAGCAAAGAATAAGAGTCACATTGTTGAGCTAAGGAGCTAGATTTTTTTTTAAAATAAGCATTTCTGTGAGGCACAATACTAGGTTGACATAAATGTAGATAGTAATCATAATGTGCTAATTGTAGGCTGTGGATGCGAAGGGACACGTGTCGTTTCCTCAGCGTTCTAGAATTTTTTTAATTGTTCTTTAATTAAGTACGCCGCTGTGGCGCACTGAAATATTCAACAGGGGCCGGGAATTAACTCCCTTGTTATGTTTTGAATAATAAATTTTATTGCAACTTCGTGCCGTCGTCAAAACGCTTGTTTTGAAATGTATAATGACACTTATTACCTCATAGCACAAATTAAAATATACTATACTATGTCTTTATGGAATTAATAATTTATTTGTTTATTATGTAGAAATTGGAATAATTTCTCGGGACGTTATTTCGTGGCCAAAATGTAAATAAGTCAAAAATCTTTGTTCTCGTCTTGTTGGTTTTAGAAAAGATTTAGAGTAAATCAATCCTAAAATCCGAAAGTATAAGCAGCACAATGCTTACAGCTATTATTTCAAAACGTTAATTGATTATTAATAAATGTATTTCGCGTGCAATACACTGGCGGGTAACATATCGAATAATGATTTCAGCCAATTAACTGAATCGTCGAATATTGGATAAAACGCGGTGATTGCCCCGTGACCTGTGCCGCTCGCTCGGGTCCCGCGCGTGTTTGTTGTTAATTATTTTTCAATTTAATTACACAGTATCTGCGGGATGTGTTTTCAATT